GTACCATATATAACTTTAGACATTAAATACATACATAAATAAATAACAGAAGGCGTATGTGTGCTTACCAAAAAATATTGGGGTGTAGTATTTTTATCGATAAGGTCCGGATAAAAAATATTAAATTTGTATCCTTGAACTATTTTGGGGGGAGGGTTATCCATGTCGTAATGAGTTTGATTATATTTATTCCATTCGAAACCGGTATGCACGCGATTAAAATACCGAGGTTTGCGAGGTCTGTATTTGTCGGATGCTATTTGAACTATCTCCAGAGGTACTTCTACAGAAAATTCGGCATCGTCTTTGTCCATTTCTTTACGCATGGTGTTACGCATATGGCTTTCTTCTTCCGTAAATGCTTCCGTTATTGAACTTCTTTCTGACGCTTTTGCACGCAATTTTTCAATAGCACTAAAACTATCTTCCTCAGTAATAGTTGGCAAAGCATTTTCATCATCAAGGTTTTGGACATAAGTTGGACTGTATTTTCCATCTTCGTACATATCAAAAAATCGCTGTAAGAGGTTTAATTCATTTTTGAATTCCCTATTATCATTATCAAATGTCTCAATATAGGTAGAATTAGTTTCTTCGTTATTAGATGTCGACGGGACATCAGAACGCTCGGCATCATCTTTAGTTTTTAAAATATTCAGTTTTTTACGCAAGTTCTCGTGATGTTTATCTCGCAAACGGGCACGAGCCATATGTGCTTTTAATTGAGAAAGTAAACTTTCCCAATAACTTATGTCTACACCGTCTGACCTTGATAATATTTTATTTTCTATTTTTGTACGGAGTTCATTTAGTTGCTTCGTATTTTTCTTACGGAAAATTTCAGCAACATCTTTTGCTACGCAGTCATGTATACCCTCTCTTCGAGAACATGATCCACTTTCATAATCTGGATTATTATTTGCACTTTTCTTAAGCTTAAATAGTTCGTCCTCTACAATAACAGTCATATCATTCCAAAAATCAATATTGTTCCCTTTATCTAATTCAACGTAGATTTTTATGTCCACCAATAGATCTTCGAGATCTTTCTAACTGAGGCCATTCAAAAGGACATATGTTTCGTGCATTTGTATTTCATTTGTATCTTCTGGTTTAAAACCGGAAAGGTACTGGTCTAATAAATCAATCGGCTTCGCTCGTCCATCTTGTATTCTAATTATACTTTGCAGAAGAGCTTGTTCCAAATGAAATTGGTCTTCTTGTAACTCCCATTCTTGAAACTGTGCAGCTTCTTTTGCTCGCTGTTGCAAAATCGACTGGTCTTCGCGTGCTTGTTTTTCTAATTCCCGCTCCATACGCCTTTTTTTTACTTTTTCAAGCTCGAGCTTATTCTCGTGTAGTTTTTGTCTCGATAGTATATCAACAGTCTCGCTTGACACATCTTGAAGGCCTTCTTTTTCCAATTTCTTTGCCCATACAAATGTCGAAGTTAAATTGGAATCTCCAAATGGATTGTCCTGATCGGTATAGTGCTGATACTCTGTATCCCAGCCCATTCGTTCTCGCCTACGCATTTCTTTCGCATCCTTTTCCCGAAGGCGACGAGCACGCTTTTCTTCAGGAGTTTCCTTTGCTTTTATATCTTCTTTTATTCGCTTTCTTTCAAGATTATCTTTTACTCTACGTTTTTCTAATTCTTTAATTAAATTCATTGAAGTAGACGGTAACTGACGCGGCGAAGACATCTTCGCGAAACTCCGATCATTGTGGAAGAATACAAGTGAGATATCTTAGGGTTGACAGATAGTTGACAGGGTGTTCAATATGGCGATGACAGTGTGAACAATATGGCAGCCAATATGGCATACAACACCGAATGGCCCGAAGTAGCCAAACTACGACCCGAATGAAACGCTTCGTGAAAATCCAGGGTTGCGAAGTGGTATTTTGTTGGAAAATATAAAAGCCAGGATTTTGTGCAGCGTCGAATTTTAACAAAAGAGGGTTTTGTGTTCTCAAGATGAACAGAAAAGGGTTGCTGTGCTGTTTCGTTTTAAGCTTATTTTAATCTTAAGGTATCTAATTAAATATTAAAAGGAGACAAAAATTAAAGCAAAAATTTAAAATATATGTACATATCTGAAAATTATAAATAAAATATATGTTTTCACGAGAGACAAATTAAATAAAATGGGTTAACTTTAGGGGAAATATACTTATCAGATTGGGTCAGATAGCGCTTTTACGTTATAAATAAAAATAATTCCTACTTAAATTTTATATAATTTTGGTAACGTATTTCTAAGCTGACCCTGAGATCTGTGAAATAATACATATTTATGTGCATATATTGTGTTGATTATGCTCTAAATCGCTAAATAATTCTTGCAGCAATCAGCACCATTGGAAAGTGAAGTGACAATAGGCTGGTTTTCTTTATACAGCCCGTTTTAAATTCGTATTATTGTTATAATAAATTACAATTATTGTTTGTTTCCATTTCGGTCAACCGCGCAAATTATTTATTAAAAAAATGTCGTTTAAAAATAGCAATTTTGTTTACTTTTGAATAAGACTTTATCGAGTGCGCTATAAAGACAGGGGGATAAATGCTGTAAAGAAATATATGTTGAGTCCAATCGGTTGAGTCCAATAAATATGAATCGGTTTATTTTAAATATTCCAATGTATATTTTTTGTTAATGCAGATAGTGCGGATTTAACGTATTTTATAACCGTTACATGGGGAAAAGAAATTTTAGGCAGATTGTTATTGACAATTTTTACATAATTTACGATTGCAATAAATTTCTTTCAAAACTATAATCTAAATGATTGCAAGTTGTATTTTTTACGATCAAAACAGATTCCAATATTAGGTATATTATGCAAATGCAATCCAATTTGATTTGAGTTATTCAGTTTTAGATACATTTATATTTCTGTGTTCGTATGGAATAGTAGTTTATGTCGGGAAGCTGGCTTTAGTATAATCCGGCATTCCCTTTATTATTTACAACACATGGAATTTTTTGATGACCCTTAACAAGAATATGGACGTGCTAGTATCGGAACTATTTCTTGCACGTTTATTTATCCAAAATTTCTTCAACGGCTCGGCGCCAGTGAGGGTATGCTGCGAATGCCGCATTATACTAAAACCAGCCTTTCGACATAAGCTACTATTCCATACGAGTGGAGCACGTGCGAAATGCGGATTTTCCCAGTTGCAGTACAGCAGTAACTCGACACCTTCCTCACCAACCGCTCTGTCCTCTATGAGCTTCTTAATGTAACTGCAAATAAAAGATGAAAATTTGAGAAAAAATACTATCACAGCGTTTCACTTGTAGCGTTTCACTCTTGTAGTATATTGGCTATCAAGCACCAGAAAATTTTCATCACGCATGCCATATGCCACCGATTGTCGTGGATCAATTAAAATACTGTCATCACAGCTTTTTGGTACTCCAGCAACTGGTGTGTCTATGGCGGAGTTATGTGGAGCTGTTGCATGACTAAAATCAATTTGGGCTCTTTGAGAACTGGCTTGTTTGTTGCGCGCTATTGGCATCAAATGTATGCAAATTAGATTTCCAAACGGGCAACTGTTGAATACAGGAAAAAATGTATTTTATATGGTTCCGCTAAAGTGCACTACTACCGTGTATAAATTGGCCGACCTTCTAGTAAATCATGCAATCCTATTGTATCGTCATCGCCGCCAGTCACCAAGAAATTTCCACTTGGGTGAAATGCAACATCATTCTCCGCGACGAATGCACTGTATTAGCTCGCCTTCAGCTTTGTCAAATATCTTAACGCGGTTCCAACTTAATGCTAAAGCCATCAGATTGCCGTCTGGATGCCATGCCAGCTGTCGTCCCATACCTCTTCCCCCGGTGAACGTTCGCATACATTCGCCTGAGAATGTATCACAAATTCTTAACTTGTCGCCGCACGATGAAATGAACTTACCATTGGGGCTGAATTTTGCTGCGCGCACCCATTTGTGTGTATTTTGAATCAGTATTTTGATGGCTGTTCGCCATTTTTCTAGTCTGCAAACGAATAAGCTGACGAAGAAGCAAACAAATTAAAGCACATTGTTGCATTCTACCGTACATTTTAAAAGCTTTAAAATCTTAAAACATATGTGAAAAACTTTTATAATCTGAATATTTCTAATGTCGCAATCAAAACCAAATTTTATAAATAGCATTTTTAAAAAGCAATCATCTAATATTTTTCAAGTTTTTGGGCATATATGTTACCATTTGAACAACTAATACTACCAAGTTTTAAGAGACTATTTAATGCAACTCAGGTCAAAAAAGCGCACTTTAGACCAAAATAAGCAACTCTAAAAAACAGATGATCGCAGCTGTGGCCCAGGATGACGTCTATTGCTAAGATATCTCACTTGTATTTGTACACAATGACTCCGATGACGTTGTTAGAACTAGGGACACGAATTTCGATACGATACGGTACCATATCGATACTTTTGGCATTCGATACCGATATTTTCTAACCGATAGTTTAAAAACGATATTTTTTGGAATCGAGTACCAGGACCCTAGTATCGTTTCGAATGTCATAAACTCACATTACAACGATAATGTTATTAACAATTCGTCCCGATATAAATTGGGCTTTAAAGAGCAGAAATGTGTAATTAGTTAGGATTGCATGTAGTGGAATTTGACCCCGCGACCTCGGTGCTTTAAGTCAACACATCAATCTCTACGTGCTGTTACAAAATATGTTAGTGTTTGACCGAGATTCTCCTCCGATTTGTCGTGCGCGCCTTAATGTTGTGGCACAAAAGGGGTCCCTACCAGTGTTGCCGCGAATCCTTTTTACTGGTAGCCAAATTCCTTTAAAAAAGGGCTAAAGAGAGCTAAAAAAAAGTCGTTGTGGCTAAAAATGGTAGCTTAAATATTTTACTTACTTTAGATAAGCGCAAACGTCAAGCTGTGAAGTTCTACTTATTTTGTGCCTTGATTGTTCTTTGTATTTTGCAAAGTTTATTGTGCTAATTTTGAGTAAAAGTTGCTATAAAAAGTGCCTACGAGCATCTTAGTGTGATAATAACCGAAGCTAAATGAAAGTTTTGTGATTTTTGTGGTTTTTATTAAATTTAATTAAATTTCACTAGCTTACATCTAATCTTGCCGAGTCATTTGTTGTTATCATTGTTGTTGTTATTCCTTTGTAGTTAACTGAGATCGTTTCTATTTTTGCACATTTCTTTTTGCTCTTTTTGTTTACTTCGTTTAGTATTTCTTGTCACAGCTGTTTGCGCTGTCATAATAGAGTGATACTCAAACTGTTCGCTACATATATTTTTAAGCTAAATACATCAGTGTTGTGTTAAACTTATTTTGCTTGTGTTATTAAATCTTTCAATATGAAGTGTGATCTTGATAACTGCCAAATTAAAAGCGAATCTGAACGCTACTTATCGTGCTGGCTCTGTGATGGTATTTGCCATCTAAAATGTGCTGGTTTGACAGGAAGAACTCTGGACGCTATTAATGATGGCAAAGGTCTTCGCTGGTCTTGCTTAAAGTGCAGGTCAACCGAAGTTGATCTCTTTAAGTTGTTTAGGCAAACCAGAAATAGGTTTTCTGAGGTAGGGAGAGAGTTGTCGGTACTGACCGAAAAATTTAAACATTATGAAAATGTATTTAAATCTTTCAAATGCTTAGATACCGTACAATCTATGAAGGACATTCATGTGTCAAAACGTAAGCGTCTTCATAGTCCGCCTAATGAAAGGACCGTTCCACGTCAGAACAATCTTCCGAATGACTTAATTAATCGTTCATAACCCCCTTAAATAAAAGCGGTAGCAGGTCTTCAGTGGAGAACTACCGGGGCATAGCTAAGCTTTCTGCAATTCCTAAATTATTTGAATCAATTATAACAAATCGGTTGACGCATTCTATCACTTCAAGCATTTCATACAGTCAACATGGATTTTGCAAGGGCAAATCAACTTCTACAAATTTACTTGAATTAACATCCTATATCTCAAAAGCATTTAGTGAGAGCAAAACTGTTGATGTTATATATACTGATTTCAGTAAAGCATTTGACAAAGTGTGCCACTCGTTGCTCATCTATAAACTTGATCTTCTTGGTCTTCCGCCTAATTTTCTACGTTGCATCTCTTCATACCTCTATGATAGATCACAAAGGGTATTGTTTAAAAATACTATCTCTGACGTCATTGATGTTACTTCAGGAGTCCCTCAGGGTAGCCACCTAGGCCCGATTCTGTTCTTGCTTTTTATAAACGATATTTCTACAGAAATAAAATTCTCCAAAATTTTAATGTATGCAGATGATGTAAAACTTTATAAATCGTACGTTTCAATTGAAGAAAGGTCTTTGCTACAATCAGACTTAAACAGCATGGCTTACTGGTGTAAAGTAAATCTTATGCCTCTAAATCTTAAGAAATGTAAAGTAATGTGCTTCTCGCGAAGAGCTGTTCTGCCAGTTTCTTATATAATAGGTAACCATAACCTGGAACAGGTATACAATTTTGTGGACCTTGGTATCACAATGGATCCTAAGCTTAATTTTAATCTTCACATTAATGTGACCGTCAACAAGGCTAAAAAGGTGTACTTGCATTTGTGAAACGATGGTCAAAAGAATTTAGTGATCCTTATATCACTAAAACCTTGTTTACAACATTAGTTAGGCCGATTCTGGAATACGGCTCGGTGGTTTGGAGTCCAAGGTATCAAATTTACTCAGACAAGATAGAATCAATTCAAAAACAATTCCTACTTTTTGCTTTAAAAAATTTCCGATGGGATTCTCAATATAGTCTTCCACCTTATACGAGTCGCTTAAAACTTATTAACCTTCCTACACTTGCCAGTCACAGGGAAATGCTTGGTATAATTTTTATGGTTAAATTACTGACAGGCTCAATTTCAAGTCCGTCTCGTCTGGCTGATGTAAGCTTTAATGTTCCCTCACGCGTATCAAGACACTTTTGTCCCATATTTCTGAAAGCTTGTAAAACCAATTTTGAATTGCACGACCCACTCCGTTGCTTATGCCAGGATTTTAACTCTCATTCCAGCACGTTTGATATATCAGATCCGCTTTTCAGCATTAAGAAAGCGATACTCTCCTCTCTCAATAAGTGAATTATTGACATAAATACATAAAATCAGCTGATGAATTTAGTTCTGTAGCTGAACAGTTTTATATCTCGACACTTAACAAACTCCTGCCTATCGTGACTCGGCACCAAAAAAAATTTAAAATATTGGTTCCGTACGTCATGCGGACTGCGCCCCTCGTGCGGATGGGCGGGAATGGAGGGTAAAAACCGTTGGGATATTATTATTATTATTATTATTACATATACATATATAAGTATACACACAAATATTTTCAATAAGTAATGGTATAGACAAACAACGAACTATGGAAAAAAAGCAAATATTTTATCCAACCAAAAACCTTTTTGTATAAAAGGGGAAATATACGACACCAGCTTGCTGGCTCCACCAAATGATGGTACCATCAGGTTCGAAGCATATAACTTACAAGCATGCTGGTACAATATTTATTTCTTTACAAATGAGGTCGAGGAAAGATCGAAATGATTACAGCCGAAATTTCATAATTTTTCTAATTGGGCTAATTTCACCACTCACGATACCAGCAGCTGGTACAATCACACCACAAGAACATACACAGTCAATCGGCTTGATGGGCCATTTAACAACCCTGTGGGATCTCGGAATAGACTTAAAGCACACCACGAACTAGACTGCAAGTGATTGTAACTAGTCCAAAGTTTGGTCCAACAACATGTAAAACTCTATTTACATTTAAAATTGAATGTCCTAGGCTCGGACCAATTGTCCGCTTCTGCATTACATTGTAACCAATTTTGGGAAAAAAAAACAAAAATAAAACCTGCGCCGGCTGTGATTCGAACCGGGGTTATCAGATTTTATAAGCGGATACTCTCTCCGCATGCCAACGTCGCACATGAAAATTTGT